TTGGCATTGGCGGATTGAGGAGTCTGGAAACCTCCACAGCTGCCCGCGATTCAGTCCTCCAGATTTGGTCTGGCCTGCGTGCCCATGCCACACTGTGCTCCCAGCCTGGCGTGATATACCTTTTTGATCAATTATCCAGGTTGTCTTGGGCTGGAAATTTGTTTCACTCTGTCTTTTTGTGGGTTCTGCTACTTCAGAATTTGTTTAGAGCCATTTTTTATGAGTATTTGGAGGGATTTGGGGGAGAGCTCAAGCAAGTCACTGCTTTCACTCCGCCATCTTGGCTCCACCCCTAAAAATTTTCTTGATATGTAATTGTGGGAAAAAATAAAAGAAAAAGAAAAAGAAAAGAAAAGGAAAGGAAAAAAAGACCTGAGTTCAAATCCAGCCTCACACACTTATAAGCTGTGTGACCTTGGGCAAGTCACTTAACCCTATTTGCCTAAGTTTCCTCATCTGTCAAATGAACTGGAGAAAGAAATGGCAAAAGACTACAGTACCTAAATCCCAAATGGGGTCATGAAGAATTGGATATGACTGAACAATAACAACAATAATTCCTGGAGAGTCTTGTCTAAGTCTTCAGGGCAGCTAGGTAGTACAGCGGATATAGTGCCAGCCCTGGAGTCAGGAGGACCTGAGTTCAAATCCAGTCTCAGACATTTATTAGCTATGTGTCAGGAGGACCTGAGTTCAAATCCAGTCTCAGGCATTTATTAGCTATGTGACCCTCGGCAAGCCACTTACCTCTGTTTGCCTCAGTTCCTCACCCGTAAAATGAGTTGGAGAAGAAAATGGCCAACTATTCCAGTATCTTTGCCAAGGAAACCCCAAACAGGGTCACGGAGAATTGGACACGACTGAAATAACAACTCAACATGACAAAAAGCAAAATAAATCAACTCTGAAAGACTGAGTAACTGATCAACACAATAACCAACCACAAATCCAAAGGACTCATGATGATGTTATCTACCTCCAGAAAGAGAACTGATACTCAGAACACAGACTGAAATCAGGAGGACCTGAGTTCAAATCTGGCCTCAGACCAAACACTTCATGCTTACTAGCTGTGTCACCATGGACAAGTCACTTAACCCCAGTTACCTTAAAAAACAAAAAACAAAAAAACCAAAACAAAAAAAAAGGAAATGATCAGATGATTTTTCCACATATTCTTTGACATGTCTTCTAAAAGGCGCTAAGTTTTAGAAGTGTACTAAACTGCTAGTCCCTCTATATTTAGCCTGCTGGGAGGCAAGGAGAGTAAGTGAAAGTGTGTTGGTACAGGATGGAAAGGGTTGGAGGTCTGGGTAGCATCCACTTCAGAAGTGGGAGAGTCTAAGTACCTGCTTACAGGCCTCATCCTTCAAGCAGAAAGACAATATTCTCTGCTTGCTGACTCTTACACAAAGCTGGCATCAGTGGCGGGGAGGAAGGGCTAGTTAGGGACAGCTTGCTTATGTGCCAGTGAAAATTGTCTTCCATGCTAGAAGTTACCCAGTCACGGTTTAAGGACTGAAAGGAAGATTACGATTGTATGTACTCTTCTACTATCTTATTCTTCTGAAACTTAGATTATGGTAATATTAGTCATTAGTGAATATGTCATCCTTTAGAGCTAAAAAAATTTTTCTTTTTTTTCCTTGTTACCCTTATAATATCTCATTTGTTTTAATTCATTCTAAATTTTTCTTTTCAGTAACAAATTCTCTCCCTTCCCCTTCCCTCTCCCCTACCCATTGAGAAAGTAAGAAAAATAAAATCCATTACAGATATATACAGTTATGCAAAACAAATCTCAACATTAGCCTTGCGTCCATCTGTCCCGCCCCTCCCCCCCCAAAATATAGCAAGTACAGAGGCATAGTGCAACCACTTGTCATGCTCTGAGAGGGATACCAAATGGCTTTTATATTTGAACAACATATCTGAAGTTGCATGAGTCACACATATCCTTTACTACAAAAAAGACACCTCCAGAACATAAAGCTAACAAAAATTAACAACCAGTGTACACCCTGGAAAAGAAGCTTTAGTTAGGGAATTGGGTGATCAAATTGGGCTACTGTGCACATGGTTAAGAGAAAGAGTAAAGTTTCAATAAGAGTTAAAGAGAGAAATTCCCATTGTGAAGACAAAGGGCTGAGTTACTAGTAAAAATGAATCATATTAAATTATCTACACATAGCTATTCACAATAGAAATTCCCAGCAATCAAGACAAGCCTAATGTGGCAGCTTGCACACAGTAACTCAACTACATATTTGTTGAATGAATGACACAATTAAAATTATTAGTTTAACTACCTGAAAGACACGAAATATTTTGCTAGGTCCAATGGGTAGGAATGAGGCCAATCCAAGAGAGCTGAGGGCACCAGGTGAGGCCCTAAGAAAAGGCAGAAGCCCTCAGGGTTGGCTGAGAGGAAAATGATACCAGTGGGACATGACTGAAAATCTACCAGGTTTTAGAAACTATGAAAGATAAGGACTCTTTCACTACATGCCCAGGTGAAGAAATACCAAGGCAGCCCAGTATCGTGTATAGGTTCAGATTTCCTTAAGTTTCTTCTTTCCCAATGGGCTACTCAACAGGAATGACATGTTTCAACGGCATTTTAAGGTTTGTGAAACACCCTCAGAACAACCTTGTTCAGTAGGTAGTGCAAGCATCCTTATTCCCCTTTGACAGATGTGGGTACTGACTTGCCTATCTATGAACACCCAGCTAGTAAGCATCTGAAATATGTTTCCAAGCCAGGGAGGCCTCTGTCTCTGTCTCTCCCTCCCCTGAGGCCAAATGCAGGGTTTTCACTTTCTACTAAAATATGCTGCTTTCCATGGCACTGATATTTCCGCCTAAATTGGGGCACTTCAATGGAAGACACTCCCCATCTCTCAGGTTTGATAGTAGGTAATGTCACAAACAATTCCTACTCAATGGCACACAGGATGGATTAGGAATAGTATGATGGAAAGAGCACTGACATAGGAGTCAGAGGATCAGGATTCAAATTCTGGCCCTGCCCCTAACCTCCTCCCCTTGTTGTGTCTCTACACAAGGGATTCCACTTATCTGAGCCTCAATTTCCTCACATGTAAAATGAAGAGGCTGGATTAAGTCATCTTTGAAAGTCCCTTCCAGCTGTAAATCTATGAGGCTCCTATGAGGAGTTCTTCACACAGAAACAAAGAAAGGCTTTTACCAACTACCCTTCTCTGGACGTAAACCCAGATACCAATCCAAATACCATCAATGAAAGCTGTGGTACTGCTCTACTGACAGGCCAAGATGCTCTCCAGTTCTTCTTCAAAGCATCCCGTGCAGGCCACCGTGAACATATACAATCAGATCTCTGCCAATCTGGCTGAGATGTAATGTGGCTGTAGATGCATGCCATCGCATTCATCAGAGATGTGATGGAAATGAAGTGCAGTTTGGTGGAACTCCACACACAGAAGTTCCCCAGCTACAATTCATCATCATAAAACAAGGCTTTTACAAAATCTCTTCATTGTGACTGGATAAATCAGTCGCGTGAAAACGATGTGGCTAACTAGCAATTAGTCCCCATTCAAGGGCCATAACCTTGTTTCCATAAGGACTGTACATCAGGGAATTGTTTCTAACTCTCATCGCCAAATACTGTAAAGCTTATTTCCATGGTAAAGTTGTGCCCAAGAAAAATCGGACTAAAAACAGCAGAAACGAAATTTTAACATGGTCCTAAAAGTACCATTAACGTCATTGTTTAAATCTAAAAGACTTTGGTTTTAAGTTTCAAATTGTTTTGCTGCTACTCCTCATTATCATTTGGTAATTAATGCTGACATCATTCAGAAAAGCCCCCTATGGCAAAATAAGGTCATACAAGAAAGAGGAAATGTTTTCTACCAGTGTGAATCACTAAGATCTATATCAGGCTAAACTACTGGTATCACCTGAGGCAATGTAGTGAAGAGAAAAGGTCTGACAGTCTGCCACTTACTAGCTATGTGATTCTGGGCTAGTGACATAACCTCTCTGAGCATTATTTTCCTCATCTGTAAAACAGAGGTGTTTCTACCTGCATTACTTAACTCAGAGCACTGTTGTAAAACAAGTACTCTGAAAATCATAAATAGGAGAGGTTATTACCAATATATCATTCTCTAACACCTTCACAGACAGACTGATGCAACTGTGTTGCTGTTCAGTTTTTATGGCATGAGGAGAGCAACAATAATTAAAAGCCAGCCATACAGGTGCTCTTTTGAGAGCTCATATGAAGTCATAGTGAGGTCAGAGGGAGGTAATGTCCACTCCAAACCATCCCTGGGTAAAAGAATCCTGATTGTGAACTTAAGGCTCTGGAAAAAGCCAAATGCTTGTTCTCTCCAAGCAGCTAAGTCTCTTCAAAAAAACATACAGGACTGCCTTTTTCAGGATGTAGTGGAAAGGAGATGGAGCTGAATCTTCTGGAGCAGGTACAGTAGTATGCCATATACACATATACCTCAATGTAAAAAATAAAATCCAGGCTGGGAGAAAAACTTGGCCTAACTAGCTTTGATTATAAAAATCATTTTATCTATCATCTCCTAAAGGGGTGGGAAGTACTTTCCAAAATAAGAAATGATGATGACAACCTCTAGTTCAATGACTTCTTCTCTAATGGTAAGTGAAGCCCAAACACAGCCTGAAGCCAATACTTGTGATTCCACAATCTTTTTCTTTGTCCTAGTGAAGAGTTCCATTGTTCCGGGACTAGTGGACTAAAGGTAAAAAGCCCCCAGTGGCAATCTAGGTTTATGAAAATTTCCAAGTTAGTTTTACAGTAATTATAATAAGGGTTCAGCTAGATTGCATGAAGAGATGTGACGTAAAGAACCTTGCTATGATGCCAATGACAAATGGTTAACTGATAAGAAGAAATGGAGAGGGCGACAGGCTGTAGAATAGGTCAATATCAGGCTGTCATGAAGCTATTTGAGACACAGAATTAATCTATTACTCACCTGGCATCATCATTCATTGTAGTGTGGTCAATAGGTGCCATGAAGCTCAGCAGCTTGCTAAGGACATGATACCTAAATAAAACAAGAAACAAACAGGCAGCACATTAGTAACTATTAACATAGAAAAGGGAATACATTACATGAGCTAAGAGACTCCAGTACTGACCATCTGGCTTGGTGATAAAATAGGGGATAACTGACAACCACTTATTATTCACAACTGTAACTACCCCCTTTTCCCTAACACTACAGGGGAAAAGTCGGATAACAGCATGTTAGAAGTGACAGTGGTTCAACAATAACAAATCCTTTTTTACCGCAGCCCCCCCCAAAGTAGCCCCAATTGTGTCCTTGAGCGGTATATAATGTTCTTAATCCTGGCAAAAGAGGATCCAATTTCCCCCTTTCCTTACATGTGGATCATTCTCAGCACTATCACCAATAAGGCTACCTATTAACACTTCTTTAGAACTCAATGCCACACCTCACAGCGGGGCTGGCCGGCTTAACAAAGACAAGGACCTTGAAATACCCACCTCCTACGCTCAATCTCACTAGTCCCACTGGGGTCACTATCATGAAGAAATAATCTATCATTACTTCTACCCTTAAAAACTTTAGGACAGAAGAAAAACTATATATTGAGTTTTCTACTCTTGGCTCTTCAGAGGAATCTTCTAAAAGAAGAGATGGCTTTTTTTTGGCAGGTGAAGTATCACGAGACCCTCTAATGAAGGGGCCCATACAGGTATACGATTACATATAAAACGTTATGAATACACACAAAAGCCTAAACAACTTAAGCAAGACAAGGACAACCCATTCTCCAAGTGGATTTCTGGCCACCAGTTCTGAACCACGTCCACCTGCCCACCAATTAGGCCTCCTCTCTATTGAAAACTTGGAATCCACTTCGAGTGTCTGCCTCATCTTGTCCAAAACTCAGCCTCCACCTCGCTTCTTGCGACCATCTCCAAACCACGCTCCCTGTACTCTAGCCATCATTCCCACTTCTTCCCTAGAAACTTGGACCCCCTGAGAATCATCCTTAGCTCTGATAGACAAGCCTTTGCCTTATCATGTCTGGAGTCAAACCTCTCCCTTGCTGCATAGTAAGCTGTCTTCTATGTGCCAACTCCGCCCCACAACTTCCAGTTCCTCTTTACGTAGATAGAATCTTCTTGCATTAGAATGTAAACTCCTTGAAGACAGGAATTATCTTGCTTGCTTATACTGTTATCCTCAGTGCCTAGAACACAGCAAGCGCTTAGCAAATGAGCTATTTATCTATCAAATGAACATATTCCTGTGACTAGAGCCCTCAGCTAGTCACACAAACTTCATATTCTCTGAAAAGATATCACTTTAAAATCACTTAACTCCACTATGCCTTTTGTCTCCTCCATCTGCAGAACTGCTAAAATACTTAAAAATATTAGAAGACAAATTTAAAGTAAGCTATCCAAAATAACAGAACCTTTTATCTACTCACAAAGTATTTTAAATATCTTTTATCATTTAATACATTTAATTCAAAAAGGAGATCAAAAAGGAAGTCAAAGGAAGTTATAAATGTCTACAAAATGCTACACTGTCTCCTCACCCCAACAGTTCATAAGGATTGTAAATCAGTAGAGATACAAAGTAAAATACAAATACAAAAGTAAAATACAAAGTAAAAAAAGTCCAGTGAAAAGGGACAAGACTTTCCCAAGAATGAAATTCTGAAAAGGAAAAAAAGGGAAATATTTCTAAACACATCAACATGACTACACAGGAAATACCAATAAACTCAGATTCAAGAAAGACACCAAGAGAAGATGAAAAACAGGAGGGTGGATGAAGGTGCATATAAAAATTAACATGGTCTATTCAGGATGTCAGGAAGTTAAAGCTCAGAATGAGTTAAAATTTGTCACAAACGTTTTGGGTAACAAAAAGGGGTGTTTCATTCTGTTTTGTAAAGCAGCACTCAGGGCAAGAGGAAAAACAAAGGCCTGGGTGCCACTGGTACCCAACAGAAGGCAGCAGCATAGCTCAGTTCCCACTTTACTTCTGTTTTCTCTACCATGGACAGAACAAAAATGGTTAACTCCAGAGAATCTGAAACTCAAGATAAGTTGAGAACAAAACAAGTTCAAGTCATGAGGCCAGCACAAGCAATATGCCAGGGAATTAATGTTATTTGTTCAAGTAAACTAGATGAAGACTGAAAGAATTTGGTGATATTTGAAAAACTGAAGAAGACTACAGCAGTGCAGCAGGTATCTATTAAATGCTTAGTATGTGCCAGGCGTTGAGCTAAGCTCTGGAAATACAAATACAAGCAGAAAGAAAGATAATTCCTGCCCTCAAGGCGCTTACATTCTAATGGGATAAGACAACACAAAAGGAAATTGGAAATGAAGAGTGGAGTGCCGATCAAAAACGTGTGGTGGAGGTGTCTATTGAAGGTTTGTGAGAAGTAAAAGCTGGCCTGCTCACCCTTCTTAAAGGGAGGTTCTGGGAGGAGAGATGTTCAATCAGAGGGGAGACTATAGGGGCTGAGGGTACTTCCATGGTGTCAGGACTGAAGTAATCTTCCATGATGAAGAGCTTTCTGGGGTATGATGGAGGAGTTCAGATGGCAGCTTGGTGAGAAATGAAGGATTTAAATAGTGTTGAGTTGAGATTACCTGGTGCTTCTGTGGTTTTTATCTTCAAGCTTTTGCTCTGTAATACTGTACTTCTAACCTTGATAACATTTTATTTCAAGTTTGTGGTTAGGGTTTGGTTTTTTTTTAATTAAGGTAACATCCTGGATAGATATCCATGTCAGAGATCTAGAGGAAGCCACATCATTTTTGGTGGATCCCCTGTAGTAGATTCATGGGTGTCACACAAGAGATGGTGTGGATGAGCTGAAATCTGATGTGGTGGAGGGGATCCCCACATCACAGATGTGTTAGAATAGTGAAGTACACTGTAATTATACATGACCAGCTGCTAATCTTCTTGAGTTTATGTAATTTGTTGGTATCACCTCCAGCCGAAATAGGAAAATATATTGCCTTTGCCTCTACTCCCTCCACCCGTTGTGCTGTATTTTAGGGGACTTAAAAATGTCAGTGCAGACTTTCTGTGTTGTAAGCTCCTTGAGGACGAGGACCAGGGCATCTTCTTCTTAAGGATCACTCCCCTTGTAGTCTGTTACAGTATCTTGTTTACCTTAGTTCACCTTTAAATGTGAACAATGCTCATCAAGTAATGAGAAAGAAAGTCTGTAACTGTAACTATAACCTAAGTGGAGAAATCTAAATGAATGTTGGAGGAGAAATCACTTCAGAAGCATGGCAGATAGTTTAGCAGATGAATGCAGTCTCTTGAGTCTCACAGATCATACTAAATTCATCAGATTTGGTGATTCTCAGTTTGAAAGGATGGAGACATGGTTTGTTTCGGTGGCAGCTCTTCTCTCATATTAGCCTTTTTTAAAAAAAATTTTTCTTTTTTTTATATTAGCCTTCTTAAGCTGTTCATTAAATTATAAGGAAGGAGATGTACAGTCTGTTCCCTGTGCCTGGAATGTTTGGGAAAGTTCAAATCTTACCTGTTGAAAGCCTCCTCTTCCTGAAGGGTGCAACTTGGAGTCCACCTGTCATAGAGCCTTTGGGGAAGTGCCACTCTCTGGATGGGATCTGCCCTTTCTCAGGTTTCTCCTGACTCTTTGCCTCAACCCTTTCTTTTTCCTCATCAGTGCCCTTGTATTATATTTATTTCTGTACATCTCCTACTTCCTGAAAGAAGGTGGACTTCTTAAAGGCTGGGACTCTGTTCTCCAAGCCTAGAGTAGTGCTTTGCACATGGTAGGTACTTAGTAGTTGTTTGTTAAATCAAAAGCAAGACAACTTTTGCCAGTAGAGTATTTTGCTAGTAATTACAATCTAGTTTCCCTGAGAGAGTCATTGTCTTTAGGGGGTATATCTTTTCATTTTTTTCTGTTAAGATTACCATTTTGGGATGTTTTCTAAGGTTGGGAAATCTCAGAAATTATGGACTGCTTAGGCGTATAAGGTGCTTGTGGAATTGCTCCAAAAACTTATACTAGGTCAATCTGCCTCACATGAAAATTCTGGCATTTCATTTTTTACTAGCTTTTCTTTTGTTTTTCTTACCAGTATTAATTCTTGCCTTAACTCTGTAATTGTGGCATTTGTCCATTTTGCAATATCTTGCATTGCTTCCTTTGACATCTATGTTACTTTGGATTATTTGGCTATTTTAGTTGATCTATGGTTTGTTTTTTTTTAATGGTATTAACACTTTTCACTTTGTGTGCTTTCTTTTTTGAATAAATTTTTGTTATATCGGTTTTTTAAGCTGAAATATTTCTGGTGTTTGGGGGGTTTTTTTGTTTTGTTTTTTTGAGGATAATGTACATGGTGTGGCACCCTGGCAAGGCTTCACCATCCACTTCAGCTTTACCATCATGATTAGCAGTCCCCATAGTCTTTTGATTTTGAATCAGTAAAGCATGTGCCTTGAGTTGTTTTTCCAAGTGTTGGTGCCATTACCCATGTTGCTCCCAGTTCTCCCTGTGACCAACCCAGCTGTGAAGTGCCTCCTGGATAGGATTAGGACCATGCAGTCCGTAGTAGACTTTTTCCAGGCTAACTCATCTGTGCAGACGAAACTATATTCTGGCCTTATACTGGTGTTGTGCTTAAATCTAAGGGTCCAAGATTGTGTAAGAACAGTCTATATTACTGATGATTTAGAAATTTTTTTCTTGTTATTTTTTTATCAATGGTTTTCTATTTTGGAATGAAATGAGACTCTTAAAAGTGTAGATTGATGCCAAAAGAGATGTCAGAAAAATCCTAGTTTTGTTCATGGTTTGTGATAGGTTTGTTTTGTAGGAAGCTGTCTGTTTAAATCTTGAGTTTGAATGGGGTCGTATGGAAGGTCAGTGGAATCAGTAGAGTCAAGCTTGGCATAAAATCTTAGGTATGCCCACAGTAGCTTCTTAAAAACAGGAAGAATTACTTTGTTGCCTGGCAACATTGAAAATTATTGACTGTCAGTATTCTTTC